TTTTGAGTTCTGGTCCTTATGATCAAGCTAAGTATTAACCAGATCGGCATTGCTTATCAATTTTACTCCATTTGAAAAGTATTATAAAATAAAGTTCGTCGCAAGCAGACGCAGGTGAACTATACAAAAATTAAAAGTGTATGAATATGATAACAAATATATTCAATAATTACGATATGTTTTGATATGTTTTTTTTAAATGCCTTTTTGAAGTTTGAAAACGTAAAATTTTTATACACATTTAAGATTCATCTTAAAAAATAAATAAAAACTAAACAATCACGAACTTGTTTAGAAATAAATTTAAAGTACATACCTTGTTTAACAATATCCATAGTGGCTTTCAATTAAGTACGTACCGTTTAACTCCATATACAGAACTACTATGAATGTTATTCTTTTCACTGATATAAGATAATTTCACTGATATATGATCGCAAAACTTATTTTTAGAGAAAATATTTGCTAACAAAAAACACTGATTATGAAAAATAATATACAGGATGATTGAACATTGCTATAAGTATAAAATTACATATTCAGATATTAGTAAATTTTAACTTTTTTTCGATTTTTGTCCATGGGACGAAGCACTGTGCGCCGCGCCGCGCCGTAGAAACGAACGATCGCATTGTGATCCGATTCAATTCTCACGATTCTTTTTTACGGCTCATCGTTCAAATATTATGAATCCGTGCTGGACACGATTCAATTGAACGAACCGCATTGCAAGCAATGAATCGAATCTCAGGATTCATTTTTAAGACACGTTCAAATAAACGACTCGTTCAATCTTTTCCCACCTCTAATCTAGAAAGTCTGCTCCCCAATTATCAATTCAACAATCATGCTATAATATAAATGCGCTTTCGCTTACCTTTTTAATTGCTAATTAACTATTGTATAGCATAAATACTCATTATGTTATTAACTAAAACTATTTTTATATAATCTATCAACTATATCCTATTTAAAACGTAATCATCCTAATACCACTCAGCCAAAAATTTATTACTGTGTTTTTTTTGCAGACAACTCTCGAGGATAATAACGTTAATTAGTCATTAGAAAACTATGGCCAATTCGTCTACGGTAATCTAAAAATAGATTGGCGCAGACTGGGCGCGTCACGGATTTTACTACTTGGCGCCCGCAGATAAAAATTCTTCCTGTCATAGATCCTCTCGAACGGCGATGGATGTATTTATAACTAATCAGGAGATACATCGATTATTGGCCTGTAGATAAACCGTGGGTAATCGATCTTATCGTAAATTAATTATTGTTTGTTAAGGTTTTTCCTATCTACACCATTTATTTGTAAATTATGCAATTTAGTGAATTAGTCTTTTTTCAATTTTAAAACATCCTTAATAATAATTATACAGGGTGGCGCCTCTCATATGACGCGGAGGCTCCAATGAAAACGTCAGCTTGCACTGAAATGAAATTTTGTGAGCGGCTTTTTTGTGAGAGTTTTACACAGTGTCCCCAAAAAAAGTTACACATCAAAGTTGTATTTTTTGTAATGAAATACCCTATATATTAACTGATTTTCGGATTCTAGCAGAAAAATCATGGTGAGTTTGATTAGAGAAATATATGACTAAAATGTAAGGTTTTTGACATATTTAACGTTATCTAAAAATGAAGAACAAATTTTAAATTCCAATAAAAAATTGGAATTTACCTAGTACAGCCTTATATGTAATTAAAATAATTATTGTTAATAAAACTAAAAATTGACCCAAAACTTTATACAGGGTAAGACAAAATTAATATTGAACATTAGTCACCTTTAAAAGCAAGTTACTCTTTTATTTTAAATGGAACACCCAGTATATTATTCCGATATTCAACAAGGATTTCATGTGTCTTCAAAATACTGTAAATGTTGCCTACCCCTCAAACAAAAATTTTCATAGATATTTTCATTTTTATGATTTAGTGTCGTTATGATTTATTAGTCTTTATTATTAGATAAACTCCAGATGGCTGTGACATACTTGACATTACTTTAACATAGCTGTCAAATTATTTCACCTATTAGTTATCATTTTGTATCAGTTATAATTAAAAAAAAAATGTCAGAAATTTGCCAAAAATGGAAACTTATCCTACATCAGAGAGAATTGATATAATTCTATTAATTATGTGCATTCACCAAGTAATAGAACGCTCCTGATTTATCTATACTGTCATTATGGTATTTCTATTGAATATTTTGACTTTTTGTTATATGTTAAAGACAGTTGAGATATGTTAAAGACAGTGTTTACAAAACTCGACCAATTATTGTTGCGGCTTTTCGCAATAAAAATCCAGATATGCCTCTTTACATAAAAAGATCTTTTGAAAAAAGCAACATTCTATGCAATGAAGAGGAAGGGAAGCATTTTGAGCCCCCATTTGATTTAATCTAGCTAATTTTTGTCACATAATTATAAGTTTATCACTAGTTTTAAATGTGTAATAATTAAGTAAAATGTTTTAAGCGTGTTTTATCTTACTTTTTTATTACTATTGAATATTTTACTCTACATATTTTCTTTTAATTTTTGTCTGGAACAAGTCCGAAAAAATGCGCCCCCCTACAGACAATCTTTTTTTTATTAGTGCGAAGTTTGATCCGAAGAATCAGGTGTGAAAAAAAATGATGAAAGTTGTGCCCCAGATGGTAAGAAATATTAGCAAACGCTCTTTCCGAAAAAAAGGAAATAAATATTGCAATTAGCATTTAAATTTTGTATTTAAAAGAAGCATCACATGGTACCTAATAAGAATAAAAAAAACATTATAAGGTACATTAGCCAGACTAACACCTAAAACTAGATACTTAATATAAATTACTATAAATTATTAACAAAACAAAATTCGTAATAAATACATAGACATAATCCTGAGAAACAAAATTCCTAACATGGACCTAACATGGAAATAAAATCGTCGATGTTTAGACTGTTCGCTATTTCGTGCTCAACAGATATTAAAGATTATCCACTTAATCGTTCTTGCGTCATACTTGATCTCAGGTAATTCTCAATTATTTTGAGTTTAGAAAAACTTCTCTCTCCGGTTGCCACTGAAACCGGCAGCGTTAATAAGATTCTTATGGAGGTGTAAATATTTGAAACGTTTCCAATCAGATCGTGAATTTTTAAATATTTTAGTGTTTATTTTGGACAACTGAAGTTTTCGGCATTATCTGGTGGTATTAGAGCAATTAGAGGCTAATATCTCCTCCTGAAGCTCTAGGCCATTAATATCATGTTTGTCTCCGTCCGTTTAATAGAGATGAAGATCCATACAATGCTTTGTTATTTCCTCTCGTTGATATTCCTGAGAACTGTGAAGTGGTATAAAAACGAAAAATAGTCCTAGTGAGCTTTTAACAACCTTTCCTGGAGAGCCTCATGGATTGTATCGAGGACAACAAAGAAAAAATCGATTATAAACTTTTCCTGTGGATCTAAAATTGGCTCATCCACTGATTCATACAAAAACTGTCTAGTTTTTTTTCTGGGACGAGCTCTAATGTCATTAGTAAAAACTGCTTCAATTTCCAGCTCTTCTGCCAGCTCTGCAGCATCCACTAATATTTCTCTAAAATGGTGGTCATCAATGGTCGTCCTTATTTTGACAAAATAGTCGTCGATAGCTTTTAGAGCTTTTGTGAACTCAATGATGTCGAGTTTCTCATTCTGAAGCAGTTTACTAGTTGCATTTATACTGTTGGAAATTTCGTACCGAAAATGACCATTTTTCCAAAATGTAGGACTGACGCATGACGTACCGAATTTGATCAAGATGTACCAAATTCAGTACAATTGTACCGAAACGGCCGTCCTCAAATTTGGCCGCCTGGAACAACTGCTCTTCTGCTCCACCCCTCAGGACGGCCCTGAGTTGGCAATATAATTTGTCATTTATTATATTGCTAACTAGTATTGGCAATATAATCAAAGCCATAGCGCAGTATTAAGTCTTGTAAGTGACTATGGTCACTGAATATTAACTAAAATTGTTGGCATTTTATCCTATACATTTTACCATACAGGCAAGTTTTCCGAAAAAAAAACTGTATGTGGTGACCTTTATCATGAAAACATTGCAAAACCACCAATCCACGTTAGCCAGTCAAACCTATAACATATCAATATACGAAACTGTGTTTGTATTCATTGTTCTAAACCAATTAAAACCGCATAGTAGGTATGTACCTTTCGATATACCTCGAATTTATAGTTGGTACGTGTCAGTCAATCACTCGTTCAAATTTCAAACATCAAAGAAAACGCGATCGGCAGCTCGGTTTTCTACGGCTGTTATTCGGTCAGTTTTTGATGTTAATTACTCTCGATTTTGTAGCACAGTAATAGAATCGAACGACATGTTTTTTCATTCGCTCAGTCAAGAATTTTAATTATTCAAATGGTGTCGGTATAATATTTCAAACTGGACATTCAAACGCGGTAGTTTTAATCAATAATATCTTGTCAGAATCATTTATCAGATCTTATAATTTGATACTGTGTGTGTAATTAAAAATGGTATAACTAATTATACTGTCATTATGGTAATTCTATTGAATGTTTTATCATAATGACAGCGGCTAGTGCGGTTGATTTTTTTATAGTTTTATTTTATTTGAAAATGAATCTATAGCTTCAGGCTATATTTATAGAATAAAATAAGATAGATAAAATGTGGCAAGGAATAGAGAGGCTCATCTGCTTTTTATTGACCTCTCAAAAGCATATGATACAGTGCCAATCCAAAAACTGTGACAAGTGCTGGAGAACTCTCCAATTAACAATACAGCGATCAAAGCCATCAAACAGCTATACCACCAAGCATTTTCCAGAATAAAGATCGGCAGTAACATATCAGAAACATTTTATGTGACCAAAGGTCCTCGTCAGGGATGTTGTCTATCGCCAACTCTCTTCAAAATCTACTTCAATGAAGCCTTAAAGAAATGGAGAAGATCCTGCAGTGGAATGGGAATAGAATTAAAAAATGACACCTACTATACTCTTCATTTTGCAGATAACCAAGTGGCAGTGGCCCAAGATAGAATACTCAATACCCAAGATACAACCCAAGATAAACTTTTTAAAGAATACGCAGAGTGGGGATTAACTGTTAACTGCAGTAAAGCTACATATATGTGTATCGGTGGAGAAGGAACAGATTCGGAAGTGGACGACAGTTGCATAGTACAATATTGTTCAGATTATACCTACCTCGTAACAAAGATTAGCCAAAGTGGACGAACTGAAGATGAAATATTGGAGCGAATAATTAAAGGGAAAAGAGTTATAGGATGCCTAAACTCACTATTATGGTCAACAAACATCTCTATAGAAAGAAAACACCTTTTATACAATGCAATATTTAAAAGTGTTGTATTGTATGGATGTGAAACGTGGCAAATAAATAAAACTTTAGAGCGTAAACTACTGGCTCTTGAAATGGATTTTTGGCAAAGATCTGCCGGAAAGTCAAGAATAGACCGAATAACCAACGAGAGAATTAGAGAGATTATGGGCGTAAAGAAAACTATCCTCGATGAAATCGAACAACGCCAACTAATATGGTATGGACATGTAGAGAGAATGACTGAGGAACGTCTATCAAAACAAATCCTAAAATGGACACCAGCGGAAAGAAGAAAGAAAGGAAGACCTAAAGTTACCTGGATTGAGGGCATTAACCGAGCCATGTCCGAAAGAAATTTACTTCCAGGAGATTGGGAAGATCGAAGGCAATGGAGACTGGGAACCGGAAGGCGTAAAACGCTATAAAACCGGATATATGTATATGTAAATAAGATAAATGGAATGGTCGAGTGGAATGGATAATGGTTAAGTCAGTGGAGATGGATTTTCTGAGAAGGGCATGAGGAATATCAAGGATGGAGCAGGTAAGGAATGAAGAGATCAGAAGAATAACAGCACCGACAATATTAAATAAATGAACAATAAACAGTTAATATGGTATGGACACGTCAAAAAGTGAGAGATGAAAGATGGCCAAAAATGGCAATGAGGTATCGTCCCCAAAATAGAAGGTAAAGAAGAAAAAAAAAACACAACTACGTGGTTAGATGAAGTAACCAGTACATGAGAGATAGAAAATATACTGTTATATCTATAATTTTATTTTGTTAATGAATATTACCGTTGATTAAAAGAGTTGGGAAGATACGCAATAAGGTAATCCAAAAAAAACTAACCTGTGAAATTTATGGGTTAAAATAAACCTAATAACCGAGAAAAAAATATGCTCGAAAGGTAGGATTTCTAGCTCACTTTTAAAAGGTGTCGATGAATATTCAAAGTTTTCCATCTAAATAACACGTAAAAAAATCTTTTTCCATTAAAAGTACCATAACTTTCAAACGGTTTACGATAAAAAAAAATTACAACGCGGATTGTTGTAGAGCATAAAATTTGCTAAAAAATATATCTGAGAGTAATTTTTTTCAGTTAAATAATTCTTATATTTGAAAGTAGCGATGGGAACTATCGAATGAATTAGACTATCGAATGGTTAATGAATGAATGATTTCAACTATCGAATGGTTTTATTCGAATAAAATCATTCATTCATTTGTAAACTAAAGCATATATGACAACCTCGCCGTGCGACTAAATGGTTATCGTTGAGCCACGACTATCGAATGCTTTTGATAAATGAAATTTAGTATTCGTTTGAATTTTGTATGCGTCAGTGGCATTATTGGTTCTTCCAAATTTTTATAACTTCGCCGTATAAATACTGTGCTATTTTTGCGTTTATTAAAATAGTTAAAATAATAAAATAGTAGTTATTTTTTAATTTTATTTATTGACGATTGTGTGCATGTGCAGGTGGTCAAAATTTTTCCGATAATTTGTGTGGTTTTCCGTAGTCCGATCTTTCAATTATTTCATTTTATATGGTATATGGTCTAATTTTTAATGGGAAATTTTGAGAAGTAGCAATTTTTAAGAGAGATGAGATGAACTTTAATTAATTTTAAAAATACATATTTGTATTTTAGATGTTTTAATAATACCTATGAATTAGTTCGAACTTAATAATTATATTTAAGTAATGTGGTTAAATAAATGGTTATCGAACTCAAACTATGGGGTGAGAAAATTAAAATGAAAATTTTACACGTGCCAATTTAAAAAAAAGGTTAACGATGTTTGTATTTTGTTTATGCTAATTCTCTTACATGTAGTTTTTTGCGAAGAAATATTTCATTTATGTTTTAAAGTAAATGCCAGTAAAAGTAAATATAATTTTTAAATAGTAATATAAAGTACCTAATATAAATAATTTTGATTTCTAATTTTTTATTTATATTTTCCTTCCATTATACCGCTTGCTTAGAAAATTAATAAATGTTTATATTTCATGATTTTAAAATTTGTTGTTAATATAACAAATTAGTTCTGTAATTATTTATTTAATAAACCAACGTTGCCAAAAAAATTAGAGACTATATTATTTTAAATAAATAGGATCTAATATAAATAATTTTGACATCTAATGTGTTGTTTATATTTTGCTACTACTTAAAAAAAATATTTATATTAAATGATTTTAAATTTTGTTGTTAATAAGCATAACAAATTATTACTGTTATTATTATTTATTAAACCAGTCTTTGCTTAAAAACAATAAAAATAATTTTCCTACATCCAAAATAACAAGTATTATTGCAGTGTAACAACAAAATATTAATAAAAAAATGCAGAATATATAGACATACTATCCCTAACTAACTAAAGCCTAACAATAATATTCTTTGCTAATATCAACTAGTACAAAAATATGGCAACAGCGCCCTTCATAATGTATTTTCTGTGTAAATACTAGCACCTCAATAAAAAAAATAATGTGTCCTTATCTATATATGACTCCGCAAAAAATCAAAGATGCCGGCTTCTTTCATAGCACTTTCTCGGAAACCTACGTCGCCGGGCGACAACTAAAATTCAGTTAATATTTTATTAGAATCGATCCTGATGAATAAATGAATTTCATAAATGAATGAATTTTATAAATGAATGAATTTTATAAATGAATGGTTTTTGCTGCCGAATTACTAGAATACAATATTTCAAGGCAGATGGCGGATCTATTCGATAATTTTTATTCGAATAGTTTTCAACGAATGTTTTCTTACTAACTATCGAATTATTCGAATGAATTGCAACTATCGAATGTTTCGATAGTATTCATTCGATAGTTCCCACTACTATTTGAAAGCTTTAAAAAGTGAAAAGAATCAATTTTCAATCAAAAATCAATCAGTTTTAGTGTTTATTGATTAAATATTTTCGTTTTGATAGATTTTTTAGGAAATTTTATGCTCTACAAGAATCCACAATGTAATTTTTTTTATCGTAAACCGTTTCAAAGTTATTAACTTTTAACAAAAAAAGATTTTTTTACGTGTTATTTAAATGGAAAACATTGAATATTCACCGACACTTTTTTAAATTGAGCTAAAAATCCTGCCTTCCGGAGATATTTTTTTCTCGGTTATTAGTTCATTTTAATCGCAATTGTATTATAGCAATTTTCACCGGTTATGTTTAATACGCAACCTAATGGGCGAATTCGTAACAAGATTGATTTGATTTCCCCTTACGTGCTGTATGGTGGAGCCGCTACTCGTTTTGCGGCTAACGCATAAAACACTCATTTTCTCTAATTCGGCCAGCGAGGGCATATCGAAGACAGAGTGGAACTGAAAGTGACAGTGTTGCCATATTAAAATGTATAATATCTGTAATACGTTTGACGAAAATATCTTTTGATAAAAAATTCGCGTTTATGTATTGAAAATTTATTCGTATTAAAAATAGAATAAACAACAACAATAAAAATTCTTTTATAGGTACTTCTATAAGTAACGATTATTGATACTTACCATAATAGTTTATAGGCTGTACTTAAACTGCCGTTAAACGGTAGCCTACTGAAATGCCGTTAATAGGTATGACCTCGTTGATGTGACGCACTTGACGGCTTTTTATTGCTTTGGTTAAAATGCCGTCGAACGGTCGCGTACTGAAATGCCATTAATCGTTAATGCAGAGTAGGCTACTGATTAATACTTAATAATTTGTAATGTAATGTTCTCCAAAATCCGTCATGGCTTATTCTGAATAAAATTAACTTGGAACGGTGTATATGTAGGTAGACGTATATGTTGCCGTTGTAGGTTTGAAAATGTATTTGCGATAAAATGTAATATATGGCATTGGTTTTCAGGTTTTTATTGCAAATTATAAACTGACAACTTAAAAATAATACTACGTCAACTTAAAAATAATAATGCTACATATAGCATTCTCTGCAAAACCACAGTTTTTATTTAGGTGGCTTAGTCAATCCTGCACAACGGATATGTCTCCATAGAAGGCATCTACTGCAACAAAGTGACATTTAATCTTCTGCGTGTCTTCACTGCACACAGAACAAAACCAACTTTGTTGAAGTCGTTTCTGCTCAACTAGATTGGTTATTTTTTCAAAGGCTTTCTCGGTGCAAAAACTTCTAAAAATCGTAATTTACATTATTAGTTATTAATTTGGTAATTATTAGGTATCGCTAGACTTACCTTATCATGTGGATATCAACAGCCTCATCAAGAACGGCATGTGATATTTCTTCGGGGAGCATTTTAAGGTCTACAGTTTCAAGAAATTTCCCATTTGTGATGTCTCTAACGATGTTACGATCCTTAACGAAGCAATTCAGGATTACATTTTGTTTGTCATGATAGGATTGTTTAGCAAATGCTACAATTTATCTTTCCTTTTTCTTTGGTATTTGGTAGTCCTATGACGTCATTTAAAACTGAATCACTAATATAGGAAAGTTGATGCGCTTCATCTCGTGTCATTTCCTCCTCTATAACCAGCTCGTTAGGTACAAAACTCAGGTGCTTCCACAGGTGACTGACCAAGAGTTGATGTATTTCTATTATATCTATTATTCTATTATATCTATAAGGTCCGTCTCGTCACAAACCTCAGAGTGTTCCACAGAAGACTGATTTTTACTTTCAAATACAACTGCATCATCATAATTTATATGTAGCATCTACTGCAAGAAATTCTGGAAAAGCCTTCATTGTACTTTTCATGGTTGGACTTTGAATGAAAAGTCCTCAGAAATTATTGTCTTCGTCTCGCAAAACAGCTACATTGGCACCTGAAAACAGAGTAGCTATTGGGACTAATAAGACGATAATAGAATATTTTAGTTTACCGTATTTAGCTTTAAGTATATTTAAGCAGCCATCTAAGTTTTTTTTTCTTGATTGATCGGATATCTTCATATTTGTTAAATCTTGTAAAGTAACAATTTTACCAGTACTTTCTTGAACTTTTTGCTGTATCATTTTTCTATTAGCCTTCATATTCAAATAATCCTTGACGCTTTTCTTCATGTTACTGGAAAGTTTTCTTTGGCTAGGGTTATGTGCATGTAGAACCTACAAAATATATCTTTTATGAATAAAATACTGTTCAAGCAAGAATTCTAAAAGCATACTATATGTCAACTAATCTGTAAACTTACCTTCGAAGTGACATGATTGTGCTTCATTTGAACCGATGTTACCTCGAGTGCTTTTCCATCAGACGATGCTTTGAATCTTACATGTACTGGACAATATTCTTTAAATGTCCAAGACTGTCGAATTTTTTTCCCACTGCCCTTAAACTTCTTTCCACCCGGATTACATGCATATAGAAGTTGATAATAAATCAAAGAGCTTTCTATTGGTCTCACAATTTTACTGCTTGCAATCGTACGCGCATCTCGTTTCCAAAATGTTGTGTACGTATTTTCACCAAGTTCCTCAATCGCTTTCTTTGCGTCAGCGAATGAGCTGAACCTATCCCCAATTTTCAGCATGCTAATTTCAGTCATGAAAAATAATTAGGTACCTAACTAATCTAAAAATGTTTATAGATAAATTAAAAATCAGAAAACTAACTGAAACACTTACTCCATCCTGAACCGATAATATCCAGATATACACCTTAATTAAAATCAACTTATAGCACTTGATTGAAGCGGCCCTCACACGATCAATAATATTGTGAATATTTTGGATTACTGACTAGTTGGCCGAACCTTTTTCTTTTTGGATAACCATTTTTTTGTATAACGCTTTTTCTTAAATTTTTTCTTCGTTTTTTTCACACTGACTGACACTCACTGCCAAAATGACACGCTTTTTTTATCTTTCATTTTTTGGCATACCTAGTGTATAATTCACACTTAATATCTGCACAAAACTTAATATTGATATAAGTATTGACCGTGTCAGGCCACCTTTCAAATATTGATAAAACATTGACAATAAAAAACATTGACAATATTATTGATCGTGTGAGGGCCGCTTAACGGTATTTTAGTACGCGACCGTTCGACGGCATTTTAACCAAAGCATTAAAAAGCCGTCAAGTGCGTCACATCAATGACGTCATACCTATTAACGGCATTTCAGTAGGCTACCGTTTAACGGCAGTTTAAGTACAGCGTATTTTATATATGAAATAACAGCGATCTTCATTTCCAAGCCAACTCTAACGCCGTTCTTTGCTTAATTATATATGTATATTAATTTGTATAATGATAGAAAATCCGTGTTATTAACGTACTGTACCCAAAATCCGTAAATGTACGGATTTATCTGTAGTTCTGGCAACACTGTCTCCGGAAACCACTCACTCTGTCGACTGAAAGCAGAACTACGGTACAGTATTATTTATCCGCTGCGCTGTAAACGACAAACAGCGCGCAGCGGCGCAGAGCTAAACTAAATCTCGGACAGGCCGACGGTAACGCCAACCAAATCGTCCATAAGGTTGCACATCTTAATTCTTCGATCAACGATATTACGTTAGCCAGGCTACCAGAACACGAGGCTCACAAAGGTAACAAAAAGGCAGATAAAATGAAAAAAAAGCCAAACAAAGCACCACAAAAGAACGGGTGGCCAAAAAATCTATAGAATAATGGGGAAATCCGCATAGTTGATCGATTTCTTATATTATTGTATTTAAATTTTCACATTTAAATGATGATAAACGGGGGACCAATAAGTATCTAATACTCTCAACCAAGTTATATCTGCTTGCTTTAGACAAGTCTTTGTATACTTTATTTGACAATAAACGAATGCAGAAGTAGCAAATTAGAATACTTACCGTACGTTAATAATTTTAAATATTAATATTTACTTTTTTATTAGCCAATCTGAATGTCGACATTGCATATATTATAGACTTATTTCGTAAAATACCTCGTGTAAGTTTTCTGAAATTATTTTATCAGCGTTTATTTTTCATTTCCATTTTCTGCTTTTTATTCTTATCTAAAAACAAACCCGTCAAAAAATTGTAAGGAGTATTTAAAGTTTTTCTCAATAATGTAGTCATATGATAATGTACGTACGTTAAAAACGATTAAGATGTAATAAATAAACGAGTATAACTGACAATAACATATACTTGTATTTTATAAATAAGCATCTATCTTCAGAGTTACGCTATTATTTATAAGTATTTTATATAATTTATTACTCGTTGTTATTTATAACTTCGCGGAAACTCATTATAATATTCGTCATCAAAAACCTAAGATACGTTTTTTTTTGTTAATTATTGTATTACGATTACTGCTTAAAATTGAAGGAAGAATTGAAATATGCAATAATAGAGGGGGTTTCATTCAAAAAATATAAAGTTTGATGTGACACAACTTTATGACCGACCCTGTATATTTAAATTTACTAGTAGCTAATAGGAATTTAAAAATCCATTACAACAATATCACAGTTTCGGCACAATGGCATCATTAAATCAAACCAAACACATCGAAATTAATTAAATCGAATTGTTCAAGTGATCGTTTCAAAAGTCAATAACTCGAAAACGGTTGGTTTGAAGTACATTGTGTGTATTTCGATTTTTGCTTAGAATTGAAGGAGTAATTGAAATATGTAATAATATACAGGGAGTTCTATTTAAAAAAATGAAACTTTGATGTACGACGACTTTATGAACGACCCTGTATACTTAAATGTATTACTCGTTAATAGATATTTAAAAATCCTATAACTTTTGTATTTAATTTTTTGTGGTACCTCCTATATTTTAACTAATAATCGACCGTTTCCATACATAAAAGCGACACTGTATACAGTTAAACACTGTATTGTTGAGCCTAAGTTGAGCCTAATTTTTTATATATTTATAAAATTTAACTTGTTTTCCATTTCTATTAAACTAATAAGTATCGTTTAAAGTTTCATTATAACATTTCAAACCAATTCTCTGTCTACAGTTATTGTTGTTTCCTGCAGTATAAATAACCATATCAGCGACTGAAATAAAACAAATAAATCGAACGAAATGGTATATTTGTCAAATTGAATACCGCGCTGGGGTTGTTCAGCTTTTCAAATGATCCGACCGGTATTTTCGGGATTTTCCAAATAATCTTTTTTCATATTTGCATTTTAAACTTGATGGTAGGAAGCGGACATTGTTACTGCGGCGAATCGACAAATAACTAAAAAAGTAACTAGTCAGAGTCAAATCAATTGTTAGATCTGTTTTTATTTAAATGTTAATAACTCCGGACTGGATGACCGGAATCTAACAAGTGGGGGCTCGTTTAAAAGAGCCTTTCGTACTCTATATAAAACCATATAAACAATAATAATATGCCTTTAACAGTAGAGGCTAGAGGGCGCTGTCTTACAATTTAACAAACAATGCGGGATTTCCTAAAAAAAATAAATACAACGGTATATGTAATTTCAGCCGATTGTAAAGAGAAATAAAAGTTTAAGAAGTCAGTGAAAACCGCATCTTGATATCTTTTTTCAATCCGAAGATATTAGCAAAAATATAATAAGTACGAAAAAAATTGCCCTTTACTATCTTATTTTTATAACACGGAATCAGTAGCCCCCTAGATTATGCCCATTTTAACAAAAAAATAAGATAGAAACAGTTAGTTTATTTTAATATCAACGAAATACCAGAATACCATAATACCAGATGCATTAATATCTAATAATTAAGATATTAATAACAGTGAACAAAAAACGATGATTCAGTGAAGTCATGGTAGGCTTTAGATAAAAGTTGCTTTTGACGTAATAGTATAAACGTCAAGTTGTTATTAGATCAACATTTTGATAGTCTTAGCAGCGTTTTTTATTTTTGAATTGCTTTTTCAAAATGTCTTTATTATTTGAAGTAGTTGAAGTTGGTAGAGCATTTTGAAAAAGCAATCAAAAGATAAAATACTATCAAAATGTTGATCTAATAACAATTTGACGTTTATACTATTACGTCAAAAGCAACTTTTTTCCAAAGCCTACCATGACTTCACTGAATCATCGTTTCTTGTTCACTTTTATTAATATCTTAATTATTAGATATGAATACATCTGGTATTATGGTATTCTGGTATTTCGTCGATTTTAAAATAAACTAACCTACCATGACTTCACTGAATCATCGTTTCTTGTTCACTTTTATTAATATCTTAATTATTAGATATGAATACATCTGGTATTATGGTATTCTGGTATTTCGTCGATTTTAAAATAAACTAACTGTTTTTATCTTATTTTTTTTTGTTAAAATGGGAATAATCAAGAGGGCTACTGATACCGTGTTGTAAAAATAAGGTAATTAAGAGCTTATTTTTTGGTACTTACTATTTTGATAATATCTTCGGTTTGAAAGAAGATATCAAGATGCGGTTTTCGCTGACTTTTTAAGCTTTTACTACTCTTTACTATCAGCTAAAATTACATATACTATTGTATTTAATTTTTTTGAAAAAACGCGCTATGTTTGTTAAATTGTAAGAAAGCGCCCCCTAGCGTCTATGTTCAAAACCTTATTATTATTATTTTTATGGCATAATATAGAGTAAGAAACGCTTTTTTAAACAAGCCCTCGTTTGTTGGATTCTGATCATCCAGTCTGGAGTTATTAACATTTAACTAAAGATAAATCTAACCTTCCCCCACCACTTTATTTTAGCAGATAGGGGAAAATGCGGCTCTAGCGGCCGTTTTACAAACTTGAAAATAATTTCCAGAAATTTCTCATAACCCCTTTAGTTATAAATATTTTTTTTTGTATGCTCTACGGCTAATACTTTCCGAGATACAGCCGAGAGCTATTCTTAGTGGGACACCCTGTATACCAATTGAATACAGAATATTTACTTAACTGTGAGCTTTTTGGGTTAATGGCTTAGAGCTTTTCGAATCCAAAATTTCTTTTTTGATATATTTCATTATCCTTTTTAATATATGACATGATTCCTATTTAAATGTTAATATCTGTTTATTATTTGCAACGCATTAAAGCTACCTACTTTTTTACTTACAGAACACAGAAGCTTATATTTTCATGGATAAAGCCAACTGAATGATAGATGCTGCGTTCACGCCCTTTCTTTGATAAACTTCGTCAATATTGATTATGGTTTTACAAAAATATTTTATTACAGTGACACAACTGTATTTTGTGAATAAATTTTAATGTATATGTAAATTTTAATGAATATGTAATATATTGTACATATTTCAGATATGAAATAAGATGTTACATATATGTATAATACGATTTGAAAAATATCTTAATATATTATCAATTTAGTCTTTTAGAGGTTATTGCTTTTTCCGTTATAATTTTTGCACTGATTGACTACCACTGTCTATCGACCTTGTTCTTTGCAGACGACCAAGTTATTGTTGCAGGTTGTGAGGAGAATGCCGACTATATGTTCAGGAAACTTGACGAAGAATACGGTAGATGGGGACTCAATATCAACCTCACAAAAACCGAATACCTGAAAGTAGGAGAAGAACAAACTGAAGATCCTGAACTACACATACATGAAATTAAAAGGTGTAGCGAATATAAATATTTAGGAAGTATTATATCTGAATAAGGG